AGACAATGCATCCACATTAAAATCTCCCAAATAAAATATTTCATCCATGGAGGGACAAACAGATGCCAATGAGTTGTCAAGTTGTGCCAAAAAAATGAGAATAATTACCAAGAACACATCTATACAGAGTGGTCCATTTAACGTGAGACAAGCGATTATCTCGAAAACGGTTCATTTTACATAAAAATGAACTAAATCAAAGTTGTTCTGTGCGAAGGGGGAAACCATATGACGATAACATTTTTTGACCTTGACCTTATTTTAAAGGTCATATGAAGGTCACGATAAATTTTTTAGATGGCACCCTATGTTTTTGATTGCAAAATCTGAATCTATGGATAAAAGTAAAATAATTAATAAAAAAAAATAAATACCCTGTTGTTTTGCCAGTACGACGGCGAAACATCTTTTGTAGACAAAATCTAAATAATTTTTTTATTGAAATAGCTTTAAATATTGTTTATTTATAAAAAACGATTAAACTATACTATTAATCAACAACAAGAAATATAAAATTTATAATAAATGTTCAAATATTTCCCCACCCACTTCAATACATTTATACCCTTCTTATCCGCTCTTTCATGTTTTCTGGCGTAGTCGGTACTTCGCGATAAACATTATCTTTAAGGACGCCCCACAAAAAAAATCAAGAGATGTTAAATAAGGTGATCTGGCAGGCCAGGAAATTGGACCTCCCCTTCCAATCCATCGCCCAGCATAATCCCAATCTAAAGCTTCACGTGCAATATGTGAAAAATGTGTTGGACACCCATCATTTGCAGCCACATATTTTGTCTTTCTTCCTTGCTCAAATCTACAAGTAACGTTGGTAAGACGTCATCTAAAAAATTTCGGTACTTCTCCCCATTCAGCATACCATCAATAAAGTATGGACCGATGAATTTATCACCAATTATGCCACACCAAACATTAACCGACCAAGGTCGTTGATATTCTCTTCACGCAACCATCTCGGATTTTCAACGCTCCAATAAAAGCAGCCTAGAATAAAAGTTTGTAAAAGTAGATTCATCCGAGAATAGCACGTTACCAAAGAAATTGGCGTCCAACCGCATTCATTCTTATGCCCATTGACAAAATATTAATCGATTTTCAAAATCACCTCCATAAAGCTGTTGATGCAATGAAATGTGGTATGGGTGATACTTGTTGCGCTTTAATATTCTTAAAATTCTGGTCTTCGACATTCCTTCGTCAATTGCGAGACGTCGAGTGCTAATTTGAGGATTTACCTCAACGCTAGCTAATACCGCAATTTCCTTTCCTTCCGTAGATACAGTTGCTCGCCGAGTTCTTTTTCTTGATTCAACCCTTTCTTGTTGAAATCATTCACAACTCTGTAAAAAGTACTTCTCGAAGGCGTATTTTGATCAGGAAAACGTTCTCGATACAAAGCTATACTATCAGCAACTTTTCAGCCACTTTCTCCATAAATAAAAATCATTTCGACTTTTTCTGCCACACTTAGAGTATCCATGATTTAATGACTTAGTTTAAACACTTTGCCTTAATGTAAAACGATGGAATGAATTCAGAATTTGTTGCCAAGCAGTTTTTATGGAAATTTAGTTTTACCCGTTACATTTTAAACCAGTTCAACCAATTACGTCTCTGAAGGCAATATTCTGAAAATGCCGACATAAGCAGTTCCACAAACTCTTGTTTTTTATGCGTTATTCTATAATCATATTGACAAAGGCGGAGAAATGTCGGGACCTTTTAGACCTCTTTCCAAAGGTATTTTCGACGAGTCAGGTCACCCTTCGATGTACCTCTTCTGGATTTTTTTTGTTGAGCATTCTTAAATAGTATTCTAAGAATTAAGAACTAAAGACAATGTTTCGAAGCCTGTAGGAAAATGTATAAAAATTTATAAATCTTATTTGTTCTTGCTAGATTATAAACATTAGTTAATCTGAAGAAGTTTCAATTTTTTTCAAAAAATGTTTTGCCGTTGTACTGGCAAAACCATACAGTAATTTTTTTAATTACTTTACTTTTATCCACAGATTCAGATTTTACAATAAAATATATAGGGTGCCATTTAAAAAATTGGTCGTGACCTTCATATAACCTTGAAAATAAGGTCAAAGTCAAAAAAACCGTCATATGGTTTCCCACTTCGCACAGAACAACTTTTATTTGGTTCGTTTTTATGTAAAATGTACCGTTTTCGAGATAATTGCTTGTCTCACGTTGAATGGACCACTTGTATATCAACCAACCTCAGTTTTGGCATGTTGACAACTGATCTCAATCCACAATTGCTCTAGTAAGTTGGAAATGGCATGAAACCAAAGAAATTGTATATATAGAAGCAGTTGTAAACACTAAAACTTGAAGCCAACACAACACGCGGTTTGTTTACTAACAACCTTTGTCGAAACCGGTTGAAACAATGAACGTGCACAGATCGGAATATTTGCGAATCAATAAATAATTCGTTTTTCTTCACTTTTATTTATTTATATTTTCTTTGTAAATAATTTGTATGTAGAGTATACTAGTACTTTTAGTTAGAAATCAAACTTAGCAATTAAAATACTACATGCTACGTGCTCTGATTAATTTAAAAGATTACATTATATTTATTGTGTTTAATACTTTCAAGTCTTATTAAAACTTGATAAAGATATAGAAAAAAATGCATTCTACAATTTATAAAATTGTTACAATAATTTTTCAATTGGTAGTTAGTTTAACAATTAATTTTTAATTGTAATTTTATATAAGAAATTAGGATGCTCTTTGGATACGCCACTGGATAAAGTCTGACCAATTTCACCTAAATCATACACGCCACTGTCGCTAGGACTAAGGTCAATTTTGTTTCCAAACAAATGCTCTTGCGTTGGCTTCAAACCGGTATACGAGCGAACATAGACGATGCGGCTTCTATATATACAATTTCATTGCATGGAACAGTCGCTTAGGCCTAAAGAAACTATGAACGCATAATCCAACTCCACCATCCGAGGAACCACGAGGCTGATGATAAAAAATATAGTTCTTTATCATGAGATAATCCAAGTCCACACTTGTACCCAACCACGCATATTTCTGTATTCTAAATGACACCATTGTGCTTATTAACACAGTATACTTCTCCAACTCGTACACGGGTAACTTTTTACAGCTTCATTCTTAACATTCATCCTGAATCATTGCGTCTTGAACATTTATAATGTCAACTTCCGTTTAAATACTTTTGGGACGTCCACTGTTTCCTTTATAATCATTAATCAATGACAATGTACACACAAATTTAGCATATATTCGTCGTATCGTTAAACTAAGGGTGACCCAAACACATCCATCCCTGGTGCTACCTTCCTTCTTTCTTCTAATCTAAATCTGATGGCCATATTTAGCCTCCAACAACAGAAAATTAAAAGTAATGTACCTACTACCATACATATACATTTCTTATAAAGTAATAACATTTGATTCGACCTAAGTAAATTCTATTTCTGTGAATTACTCAGATACTTGTTTAAATGGGTCATAGCTGAATGTAGAATTTCCAATAAATATTGAAGTCGTCGTTACTCCAACAAAATAGCTCTCTAAACGCCAGACTTTCTATTTTGAATAGAAACATCCTTCTTTGCAGAAACATCCATAGAAAACTGTTAACAAATTTCTAAGCGCTATTTTAAGTTTGACAACTTCTGGGATCCTCTTGTTCAATAAATTCTAACCTAAACACTCTTTGGATTGATTTGAATTATGTTCTTTCGATTTCTATACATGAACCTAAGCTGTAGTATCTAATGTGATCTTTTTATTTCATCCTCTCCATTAAAAATTACCACTAAAGTTCTCTACAAGGAAGTAAGAAGTAAAAAAAGAATAAATTCATTTTATGACATCAAGAATATTTTGGTTTCCATTTAATGTTTAATTATATTAAATTTCCTTCTAATCTCCTGGTGCTGTTCTCCCCGACAATCTCATTACTATTTTTGCTCTTCATTCAACATAAATGAATATTAATGTTTTTTATTGATCAATTTTGTAGCTTATGTACGTACTATGTGATTCCTAATCATATCCAATAGCTGAAACCAGAAGAATCTAAAATAAATTTTTTTATGTATATAATCATGAATTGATTCAGGTGTGCTGCTAATAAAGCTCTATTTTGATTATGATTTTGGGTATAATTAAGAGATTTTAAACATATAATACGTTATGGATTATTAAAACTATTATTGCTTTAGATTAATTTAAAAATATTAAATAGATCAATTTTTTATTAATGTTATAATCGAAAATGGAAAACTGCCAACAAAACTGAGTTTAGTGTAATAAATAAATAAAACCTTTAAATAATTTATAAAAGAAATAATAAAAAAAATAATGTTGAAAAACTAACGAAAATATTTTATATAATATGGTAAAAATTAATATATCAAAACATTTGGCAGAAATCGATGCGTATTTAAAACGATGACTAGAATATTTGAAGAGTGTGTGCTGTATACGTTTCTAAACAAAGAATTACACTTGATAAAATGATTACATTAAAAGTAGTTGTTAAAAAATTAATCGCATCTAGAAATAATTTTTTTTTAGAATTCGTCGAGATAGTGAGTTGGAATAATTAATCCCAATTTTTCTTCTTGCTGAGAGACGTATTTGATGTCGAGAAGCCGATCTGTGTTACATTTACGCATGATGTTCAAAAAGTATTTATCAAACGTTTGCGCTAGAGGTATTTTTAGGTGAGCATTTTTGTAGATAAGAAACATATAATTAAAAAAAGATTATAAATAATTTCATAGACGTTTTATATGATATTGTTGTATGTCGAGCGTATGTTATTGAGAAGTATCACATATTTAATCTATAGATTTGTTTAAGTTTTGACCAATCATATTTTAATAGTTGAAAATAAATCGAAAATTTAAAAAAAAGAATTTTCTTTTATTTTAGAAATAAGATAAGGAATTAGATCGTAAAAGAAAAAAGGATTTATATTGTAATCTTTAAAGATGTTTCTGCGTATATTTTATTAATAAAAACTTAACAATACAAAAGTTAACAATATATCAAAAAGGAAAACAAATCTGTATATTAATTTTTAGCTAAAATAATAGCTGTTCTTGAAGGTACATAAAGCAATAAAGAATTTTTTAACCCACCAAAACCAATGGGTTCAGTAAAATAATTTAGATTGGTGTCAATACGAGCTTGACCACCAAATCTAACATCATCCGAAGACAAAATTATTTTGTAACAACCCGGTTGACTAACACCAACTCGATATCCCGAAAAACTTTTTGTTGGGTGAAAATTGAAAACAAATACCAATCCATTTCCTCTTTCGAAGGCTATCACCTTATCATTTTCGTGTTTCCACGAAACATAACTTGAATCATTATGTAACCAACCATATTTCTCCTCTAAATGATTCATTGCCGCATCAAACTCATTTAAGAACTTATACCGCAATAAATCGTCTTCAACCAAGTTCCATTGACGACGTGCGTAATGATATGAACTATTATTACCTAATCGTGGAAAATCTAACCACTCTGGGTGTCCAAATTCGTTCCCAATAAAATTTAAATATCCTTCACCCCCAAGAGTGTGCGTAATCAAACGGATTATTTTATGTAAAGCGATCCCGCGATCAATAATGGGAGTTAAATCGGATAAAGTACTCATATTTGTATACATTTCCTTATCCATTAACCAAAAAGCGATCGTTTTATCGCCGACTAGAGCCTGATCGTGAGATTCCGCATAAGATATACTCGGTTCCATCCATCTACGATTTGTTAAAGTATGAACTATATTTCCGATATTCCAATCTTCATCTTTGCATTCTTTCAAAAGTTGTATCCATTTATCGGGTATCGCCATTGCTAATCTATAATCGAAACCTAAATAAAAGGCATTAATTATAATTAAATTGGATTAGCATCACATCCGCTTACCTAATCCACCCTCTTCAATAGGTCTACACATTCCCGGCATTCCAGAAACATCTTCAGCAATCGTAACATGTTCCCCTCGTATTTTATGTATAACATAATTAGCCAACATTAAATAAACCAAAGCCTCAGTGTCTACATTTAATCCAAAATACTCATCGTAATTCCCACTAAAACCTTCCCCGATTCCGTGCGAATGATACAACATTGAAGTAACACCATCAAATCTAAATCCGTCGAATTGATACTCATCCAAATACCATCTCAAATTTGATAATAAAAATCTTAACACTTCATATTCAGAATAATTAAACAGTCTTGAATCCCATAAATCATGCACGCCGCGTTTCCCAGAATGAAAATAACACGAATCAGTACCGTCAAAACGATTCAAACCGTCCGAAACGTTTTTACTGGCGTGCGAATGAACGATATCGAGAAAAACCGCGATGTTCATCGAATGAGCGGTGTCAATTAAACGTTTTAAGGCATCAGGGACGCCGTAACGACTCGAAACGGCGAAAAAACTCGTCACTTGATATCCAAAACTGGCGTAATAGGCGTGTTCCATGATTGCCATTAATTGTATGGCGTTGTAGCCTTGTTTTTTGATTTTTGGTAGAATATTATCGGTGAAATTATCGTAGGAACCAACATTTAATTCGGACGTAGCAATTCCAACGTGACATTCGTATATCCGTAAACTCTTTGGTTTTGGTACTTTTGAGTGTTTAAATTCGTATTTCTGAAAGCAAAGTAGAAATAATTAAAGGTTATTATCCTTTTATAATTTAACTTTTAAATGATTTACGGCTTAAATTATGCACCGAATATTTCTAACTAGAAAATGTCTTATTAAACTTATTAATTTTTGTTATTTAATTATCCAATTGTCATTTTCCGAGATATTCCCTTTATATCTTAAAGACATAGACAATATTTTTGCCCAACATGAGCCTTGGGAGTAAAATAGTGATACCATCTCGTGGTATGTTGTTCACAACATGAAAATTTTCTATTTTGTTATAGCTTTTTATTTGAATGGTTGAAAGACCATACAACATTGTTAATTAATTAATACAACTGACATATCAATTATCTAATTTATATGTATAGCACCACACCCTTGCTTTTATATGTCCTGTGCAAGGCATGCTACAGCCACTTCTCCTTCTATAAAGACGAACAAAAAGAGAAAGATGGGAGTCAAACAATCCATATTTATAAATTGAAACGATTTGATTTCATATCGATATCAGCATTTTGCTAACAGGTGATTTTGAGTGTTTGTGTAGTTTTATAAGTAAATTTGATTGATATTGACATTGTAAGCAGGTTTTTGTCCATAAGTGAATGTATTTTGTCATGTGGGGCCAAAAGAATGAAGAAGTTGTGAAATTTGTTGATAATTATTTTACCAAATTTTTACAGTATGTATATGTGAGGACTGTTTGTTGAGAGGTCACACAAAAGCTTTACATCTGCTTGTGTGTTAGATTATTTTTTGTTTAGCAAGTGTGTTAGTTTTGCGTCACTGTCTTTTACTCGCTCTCATTGGCTAGTAGATGGGTTTATCTATTAGATAAATTTAACTAAAAGATGGTAGTAATGGACCTAAGGCTCGTTACTACTATCTTCTGGTTAAGCTATCTAAGAGATTATTACCACGGTTACGGTTATTTTACATGCTCTGATTGACTACTAGATGGGTTTATCTATAAGATAAATTTAACTAAAAGATGGTAGTAATGGACCTAAGTTGTGCAATCCTTAAAGATTGTGTGTGGATTCTGGACAACGCGCCGGCTACAATGTCGGAGTCTCCTTTAATGTACCTGATATCTGATATGAATTGAGTTATGTAACGCAAATACACGTCGCGTCTGACGTGGGTTTTTTCTGTGGTGGAAAAAAGTGTGGTGATTAATGGTTTGTGGTCAGTGTAAACCACAAATTGATTTCTATTGAAGAAATGTCTAAAAAATTTAATACTAGTATAAATTGTCGACAATAGGGCTGTTAAGTTTTTTTTTTTTTGGTTTTTTGGAAGTTTTTTTAAATTTGTTGGCCCTTTTTTTTTTTATTTTTTGTTTTTGGGGTTTGTTTTTTCAAAAAAAAATAATTAAGGTTTGAACTTCCGGGGGGGGACTTCCACGTTCGTTCCTTCGGTTTTGGGGTTCGGTTTGGGGGTTTTAAAATTCATTTTTCTTGGTGGGGGGCGATGCTGCTACTCTTCTTCTGTGGTAGAAGACGAGGGGGGGGGTCGTGTCTTTTGTTTTTTTTTTCTTGTTTCTAACGTCATCTGGAGTCGGGGGTGGGGAATTTTAAACTTTTACATTAATTATTGCAAAAATTAAACAATTTTCGAACGTAAAAACGTTACTAATCCGCCTAATTTAATTTAGATTATCGATTTTTTGAAAGACGGTCTTTCTAATAGATTGAACTTAACGGCCCTATTCTCTATCAAAAGTTAAATAATTGATTTGACTTGAAAAAAATTTTGAGGGCAAATAAAGCTGAATCTTATTGCTTATAATTTGTGATAAAACTGCTCCCATACCATTACTTGACGCGTCTATCATCAGAAAAAGAGGAATTTGTGGATATGGATGTGCAAGAATGACAGATTTTGATAAAAGTTGTAATGAAGGAAATGTCGTGATGTGCCCATGAAGTGATTGACTTAACTTTTTGCGAATAAAGTGTTTCTGAGAGATGATGTAAAGAAGTTAGACTGTTTGAGATATTCGGTAAAAACCTGTGATAAAAATTTATCATCTCTAAGAATCACTGTAATTGTTTAAGTCTTGTAGGTTTTGGGAGTTATATGATGGCATTAACCCTAAGGGCAAATGCATTCAGCAGAAATATGGTCACTTAGAAAATCTAAAGCGGCAGCACCAAAAACACAGTTTGAACAGACCAAATGGTATAGAAATTTGCAATTCTCCAATCGTAAGAATCTTTTTAGGAACCATGTGAAGAAGCGACGGAAGAGAGGGTTGGCAGATTCCTACCCCCATCTGTTCGAATTCTTTCGGTGTAGACGTTAATTTTGGATATCTTTTCAAAAATGTAGTGCATTTGATTTCAAAAGAAAAAAATCTAGGGGTCGGAATAGTTTTTTTGACAATGGAACTGATTGAAAACAAATTGGTTTTCTAGTCTATTAATCTCTTATTCTTTATATCCACCAAGATACCAAATGCCTGAAGGAAATCCGCGCCAATGATTGGTTTACTAATATTGGCTATAATGAATCTTCTTCTATAGCGCGACAGCCCGATGTAGGGACTTGGTCTCCTTTATCAGGCTCCCCCTTTCCTGCCTATTCCTAGTCCTCCACTTCCAACGCTTCACACCTAGAACCCCCCTCGCGTCCTCTTCCACAGCAACAACCATCTTGGTTGTCGCTAAACCAAGATATTAAATTGCTATTTAATATCTTGCTAGGGATACTGTTCTGTTCTCATGTGCTATACAGGGTGTTTCAGGTTTTTGTAGCAGGACTTTAACAGTCGATAGATATTTTTAAATTAGCACAAAAACTTCATATAAACATAGGTCGACAAACGCTTTGTTTTGAAGATACAGGGTGTTTAAATTAAATTTTTTAATTGATAGGTATAATAATGTTTGCCATTGAAACAAAGTAGGTAAATTCACTAATGTTTTAGTTTATTGCATCAACTGTCAAATCACCAATAGATGTTGATAAATGTTAAATTAATTTTTCTTATTCGTTAACGTGTTAAATTCAATTTTCTTGTTTATTAACGTGCTAAATTCATTACTCTTTCCTATTCGTGTTAAACTGTCTTTTTTTTAAATTTTTTGTTTGCTGCATAAAAACTTTATAAAATGTTGTTTATTTTTCCTAACCAAGAGTTGGTGAATATTCATTTTGTTTATGGGTTTGCAAACGGAAATTCAGCAGAAGTAGCCCTAGAGTATAGGAGAAGATATCCAAATAGAAGACATCCGCATTCTTCTGTGTTTGTGAAAGTGCATAGACAAATAGTTGAACAAGGGCTAAATAATGACGGGTAAATCGTAATAATGACAATGTTAGACTGCAAAGAAACTTTAGAAGAAGAATTTTGCGTGAGTTCGACAGAGACCCCACTACGAGTGTTAGAAGAGCTTCGAATGCCTTATGAATTTGTAAGGCGCGAGTTTATCGCCTTTTAAAACATGATCATAGACATGCTTATCATTTACAACCCTTGCAAGGATTGCAACCTGGCGTTAAAAAACGGCATGTAACGTTTTGTCGGTGGATTGCTAAAGCATCAGCCAACAATCGAGATTTTTAAATAATGTAATGTGGAACGATGAATCGTGTTTCACAAGACGTGGGATTGTAATTTAATATACATATACAAATAATAAATACAAATAATAAATTTCGTGTTTCACAATTTACATGTTTTGGTATCCGTACGCAATTCGGCCATGAAACTTCCGACAAGAATTTAGTGTCAACGTCTGGGTAGGTGTTTATAATAATCATTTTTTTGAGCCATACTTTTTGCCACCACAAGTAACCACTGCGGCATTCTTGTAATTTTTGGTAGCTGAACATGCCAATATGTGGGATGAAAATGATTTAGCTTTAAGAAAGGCGTGGTTTCAACTTGATGACTGTGCAGCTTATCACGGTAGGGTGGTAAGAAATTGGCTAGACAACCATTTTCCTGCAAGATGGATAGGTCGTGGTGGACCAGTCGCATGACCCCACGATCTGCAGATCTTAATGCTTTAGACTTTTTTGTGTGGAGATATTTGAAAGGAAAATTGTATGAGACATGAGACACCTGTTTCCACAAGGGATGAACTTTTAATAGGAATGCTTGTAATGACATAAGGCCGTTCTTAAATACCATTACTCGATCAGTAATTCGTCGGTCAGAATTATGCAAGCAACATTTTTTACATTTTCAACAATTTCTTTAATTTTTTCTTTTATTATTTAGATTAAAAAACATTAATAAACTAAAACATTAGTGAATTTACCTACTTTGTTACCATGGCACACATTATTTTAACTACCTTTAACTATCGTCTAAAAACATTGGTCTGTATCGAATAATAAAATGCGGATTATCTTGAAAACGATAAACTTTGGCGCATTTTGATAAGAGTATCCTTTTTGCTTAGAAAATACAGAGAATAAGAATTTTTATTCAAAAAGCCAAAAAGTATACTGTCAGAAAAGTTATTGTTATTTTAATCCGTAAAGAATACGTTACAGAGCGGCTATAGTAAAACGGACTCCATAATCGTCTTTCTCATGTCCAAAAACCTCTGTATACCACATTTGAAAGGAATCGGTTGAAATACACGTGTAATATTAAATAAAAATCAATTTAAAAATTTAATTTTGAACACCCTGTATCTCCAAAACAAAGCGTTTGTCGACCTATGTTTATATGAAGTTTTTGTGTTAATTTTAAAAGATCTATACTCTGTTAAAGTGCTGCTATAAAAACCTGAAACACCCTGCATATGACGCGCCCATTGCAATTTTTTAAGCTTAATAATTATGGAGATAGGTGGCTTCTCATACACACTATAAAGATCTTTGTAGTATTTCATTCTCCATACCCGCAACGGAGTACAGCCCTTATTATAGTTTTATACAACCTTGTTTTCGTTAGATATATAATTACAATGTCATTGGTGAATCCCAGGATTTGTGTTGTTTTATATGCTATAGTGCCTTTAGCATCTATTTCACAT